ATTTCTCCATAAATCGCTTTGTTAAATACTGCGCTCCAATGCCAAACTGTAGTGCATGCCTAATATTCAGCTCCAATCTGGACTCTTATCTTACGTTTTTTCTTTCAGACTAGTAAATCTTTCTTGTTTTCATCTTTTCCTTAGTAGGTAGGTCAACGGGACTTCGTATAGCCTTCCGAATGTCAGGGGAGACTTCGTTTTCAGAAACCCTAGAAACCGAATCGTGCCGGGCCCTGCACCCGCCCCGCTCCGAAGTGATGTATGCAAAGTTTGCTTCGGATCCGTTTAGAAATAAAATTTTCTGTTCGGAACATACGTACACACAGACATACAGACAGACATACAGACATTCAGCTTTATATATGAGATTCGATCAGTGACTCTCTACCATGCTCCTACAGTATACCTACTATATGTCATCAGCGACAAATCAATGGCAGCATTGTTATCAGCACACTGGACAATCCAACCAAATAAAAATCTGCAAAACTGAGCGAAAACCTACTGTCTACCGTGTAACTACCGTACCTGACAGATTGTGGCACTTCTACATACCGTATGATGCGTCTCGCCGAGCTGAATCGAACGGTTTTTCGGAATCAGAATTTGTCCATTTTGAAGCGAGATATGACGATGCGACGCGCGACGGACTCTAGTGATGTGCGGCGCACTCCGCCGCACTCTAGCGTATTGCGCCGCACTCCGGCGCACTGCTGTGCAGTGCGGCGCACTGCGCTGCACTCTAGTGGACTGCGCCGCACTCCGGCGACTTTTTTGACGAATTTTGAGCGGTATTGTAATTACTGCAAAAAGCCACTATTTCTACAATCAACCAAAATTTTCTACAGTATGTAAATCTGTGGGAATTGTGATATTACAATAGTGGATTTTGAATATTAACACGTGTGGAATAAAACCACAAAATGATTAAAGCGAAGAACTTTTCGCAGCGTGCACATCGGATAAATGTTCGGTTTTGTTCGGTTTTTTCCATCCATGTCGTTTTGAGAAATGTCGCACGTTTTGAATTCTTCCGAAAGGCACGAAACAACAAGCTGTGACGAAAACATTGTAATGATTGGCAGCAGAGCTTTTTGCTATATGCACATACTTGGCATTTGCATTCATCTGCGTGAACCTGCCTTGATAGGTAATAAAGGTGCTGATTGCCGATTGCATTTGGGTAGGGGAACGAAAGCCGCCAGTTTAAGCCGCCTTTCGCGGCCAGCTGGTCCTTTCGCAGTGTCGGTGCATGTCGTTCCAGGACCGGCAGTCCGCGGAGGCCGCCTAAACTGGCGGCTTTCGTTCCCCTACCCATTGCATTTTTGCAAGTCTGCGCGCTGCGAGAAGCTCTTCTGCTTTGAACATTATCTGATTGTATTCCACACTTGTTAATATATCGTTGTAATCCATTATTGCAACATGATAATCCCCACAGATTTACATATTGTAGAAGATTTTTAATGATTGTAGAAATAGTGGCTTTTTGCAGTAAATAGTTCGTATCAACTGCGCAGCACTGAGCATTTCTCGTTTACTTCACCCAATAGACTTTTTACAAAACTGCAAAATAAAGTTGCGCCAACGAGACTCGAGCATTCGACCATCCGCTTCAGAGTACGCTGCCTTGCTACTGCAGCATTGACACACACGCTGTGTAGCTTTAGCGCCTCCCCATTAGTAGCCGCGCCGGCTGCGCCGGAGAAAATTGGCCTCATAACTCCCCCACAAAACCGCTCGGCAACTAGCGAAAGTAGTTTCGAAACTGTCTTACAAAGAAGGGTTTCCTAGTACAGAGCTCAGACCTATCAACCTTTTTTCGTTAGTACATTGCAAAGGACTACATGATTCGCTGGAACCAAATAAGGAAAATAATTCTAAAGGTACAACAGAAATGAGTAATCAGAAAGTGAATAAGACAACGTTATATGTCCAGATTCTATGGCACTCCATATCTGAGGTATTGCAGTTAACCGGAATCATTAAATTACACAGCACATTCAAGCATATATACCAATACACGTCCAAGAATCACTTATAGACAGAGCTAATGAGAGTAAGGCACCAGAATTTTGACCCCATGGATAATCTTCATTTACAATGTATGTCAATGTATATCTGTAAGTACCACCATTTCTGGTAGGTCGGTTAACCGTAGAATCGATTGACATTCGTTGAGCCAGCGACGCATGATGCTTACCTAGTCTAGAGCTCATTCCAAAAGGCCACTTCTTCGACTGGTCATCCTTCCCTTGTAAGGGTTACGGTTTAAAATTTAATTCCTTTACTCAGATTTTGTTCTGCAAAAGCATGGAAGACACTACGAGAAGGATAGTAATGTTGGAGAATATCCTTTCGCATAAACGTTTACAACCAACAACCCTGCTTGACTCAAACACCGCCATGCGGCAACCTCTCCCCCTCTCCTACTGTTTTTTTAAAATTTGGGCAAAGTCCTTCGCAAAGTGTGCTGCGCGGGAGTGTCCCGCACGGAAGTGCCTAACAGATTTTGTTGACGAATCGGTCGACACCCTACTTAGGCGTTCGTGGTTGAATACCGCAAAATCCCGCTCACAAAACAATCGTGAAAAAAGGTTGTCTTCCTTTGAACCCGATTTTTTCCCGACTTTGGAGTCGGGACGAAATCGCGTGTTATATACTTGGCCCTAGAGCAGGGCTTTAACGATCTAGTTTCTTCTACTTATTTCAAAGAGCTACTGTCGTCGAAATCAATCTAATACTTGCACATTGATATTTCGATTATGGACAAGTCTCCCTATCATGTGGTTCAGTCACCAATTCTACTCACTTCGTATTTAGATTATCCACGCCCCTTTCGTGGTACAAAAGCAACAGGATCAAGAGTCTCAATTGTCTCCATTCTCAGTGAAAGTTGTGCTAAGCGAATACTGACTGTATACAGAATAAAAAATGACTACACACTTTTTGATCGTTAATGACTTTTTTCCCGCTAAGTCTTTTCCTTAGCTTTGAATACCGTTCAGTAGAGGGTTCTTCATCTTAGGTTTACATTACGGAGCAAATTTTACATTTTCTTCATTACTGTAAGACTACGGTAGGATTTTTAGCATACAAGGTTCGTGAATACGCCGTTTGAGAAAAATTCCAAAAAAATGGAAATGTGTTGTAGTGTTTTCGTACATGCTGACTTCATCAGGAACTATTCGTGAGTCGACGAGTTTCAAATGGTCTAATCGCATTTTTGAAAAAAAAGCGTTACTGCTGCGACTTACTTGACATAACTTATGAAAAAGCCTTACGATAAAGTGCGGATTTCATTTTAGTAATCAGCGACTTAATTTAGTTCGATGGTAGAGATTGAGTATTTGTTCTTGGGCGATATGTAGCACCAATGGCTCAAAACCCTCTTCAAAGTTCTTATTAATCCCAAAGTAGCAAAGAGTTGGGTGATCCGCTCCGTAGAGTCAATCCAAGTTAAAGGTAGCGGCTCGGAAGATTCTCTTGAAGTTTATTCCCTTGCCTGGGGTAATTTGAGGGCGCTGATCTAAAAATAATCCTTGATGAGCTCGAAAATAGCGAAAACCACCATTTTTCAAGGCCTCCCACTTTGAATTTGAACGAATGGAGCACATCCCGTTATGGTTAAAAAGGCAAAATCGTTGCGGGACCCTCGCGCTATAACATTGCTGCCTTCTCTACGCAGTCTGGCCCAACCCCGTAGGAGAAACAGGGTTGGGCCAGACTGCGCGGCGTACGCGACGTACGCAGCGTACGCCGCGTATGCTCCTATGATGAAATATACCGAGCGTACGCTGCGTACGCCGCGTACGCCGCTTCCCCGCGAAGTCTGGCTCAACCCTCAGGTAGAATTGCAAGTTCGTCCGCGCGTGTTAGAATGACTTGCGCGTAACTGATTTAGGGGCAGTTTTCTAGGCAAGGGCAGCGTGCTGTGCGCTCGGACCTGCTCTTTTCTCATGTTTGGGGTGCAAGTACACTCCCATGTCAAAATCTCGGGATGTTCGGTTTTGGCGAGCCGCTGCCTTTGAAGCCTCCTCTATTGGATGGTACTTAGAGCTAAGGAAAAGACTCAGTGGGAAGAGATCTATCAACGATCAAAAAGTGCGTACTTACCTTTGAACACCCCGTATCTCATAAAATAAAGCAGCAGTATTTGCAAATTGTTTACAACCGCGAGAGTTTGTGCATCGTTCAACGAGCGACATCAGTAAAACACGTCATTGTAAGAGGTTATGAATTGTATGAAGATGAAGTGATTATGATTCTGTTGCATAGATGTGTGATATCTTATAGTTCTTACAAGGGAAGTCACTTAACTTAGGTCGGCTTTTTGAAACGAGACATATATTTAAAATCAGCTCGGAAAGCTTCCAAATATGGCGTCCTTAGCTGCGAAGAGTTTCTCTGAAGCGAGTTATGAGGTTTTATAGCAAGTGTCATTGACATGCTACTGAATAAGGAATAAGGCTTGTAGATGGATTCTGCTCTAAAATGGGTTATTTGGCCTTGATAGGGTGTATTATACGTTTGAAATACTACCTAGATGATGATATCGTAGCATCCGTAAGTCGGTCAACACGTAAGCTTTGCTCAGGAAAAAGCTCATAACTCGCTTCAGAGTAGTGCTTCGCAGCTGTGGGTAACAGATTTAAAATCAGCGTTTTGAGCTGACTCTGATTATAGGTGTTGCTTTCCAAAAGGCCGACCTAAATCAAGTGACTTTTTTTGTTAGAAGGCTTACACTTGTCTGTTGTCTTTGCAGCTGCTCACATTCTTCATTACTGAAAGATGAACTCTGGGCTTGAATTTCTTTTAGTAAAGCTCACATTCCTGATTACCGCAGGGTCAAGTCTACATATGCTTTAGCATGCCATGTAAGTAGTGCTAAGCTTGTCATTTCTAAGTGTACACTTGTGAAATGCTTTTAAAAGCTTTAAATGCTTTTTCACTTGCGATCACCCAGATTTGAATAGATTGGTCAGTCTGTTTTTGAAAAATACATTGCAAACAAATTTATTCCGCCCAAAAAAGCCCAAAATTGGGAGAGTACTGATACAACTTATTGTAGTATCTTTGCTTAGCCTCTATTGCAACGATCAGAAGCACAGCAGCATACTGTGCGAACAAAGAAAGGATCTTCAGAAATTGTTCTGCAGCAAGTACGAGCTCTCCTTTCTATCGTGCAACCCTATGAATAGCGAATGAAGTTCTTGGACGTCAACTAAGGAAGTGACTGTAATTACATGTTCAAATAACGTAATGCTTACCTTGCATAAACCGACGTCATCACAGCCGTATCTGCTTCCGAGATGTTTGATTCTAAATATGCGTTAATCACGGGTGCTTTATGCGAAAGTTTAATAAATCATACGTATAACAATATTTCGTTTCGGGCGGGCACGTCTGTTTTGTCACTGGCTGATTAGCGTTTGCTTCTCCTGTAATTTGCAAGTGGAGGAAGAATGAAAGACATAATACAGGGATATCCCAAAAGTATGTTCCACCGTTTGATCGCTCATATCTCTTTTCCACGGAAGTCTTTTGCCTACTTCCAGATACCACCTTGTAAAGCTGGCTTTAGCTTGGATTTGCATGTGAAAGGGTTTATCGATCGCATTTCATCGCTGTAGGATTACAGAGAGAACTTTGAAGACGGTTTGGGCCTTGGAGGGCCATATCTTGCCTCTAAAAGAAAAGAAAACCACCTGAAAACTCTTGCACTTGTCTATGTTGCTGGTTCCGTTAGGAAGTTATGCCAGGTAAGCAGTAATAGCCGTTTTTTCGATATGTTTGAATTTAGTAATTAACTGTCTAGAAAAATTGTAATTGTGGTTCTGAGCCTTGACCCGAGATCGTTAATGCTTTATTGGCTGACGTTTCGGCAAGTAGCCTTCTTCAGAGGCTGGAATGGACAGTACAACTCGCAAGCTATTTGATCAAACGTCTCTGCAGCCATGCAAACAAAACTCTAAGGCTTCGGTAGATTACCAATTAGCTGCCTAATCAGGCACTCACTTTTTGAAAACGCCGATAGGGTTCTAATGCCAGAGTGAGAGTTGAATAACTGAACGCATATGCATGGCTATTTATAACGTCTCCGCCGAGTCAGAAGATCTGACCCAAGTAGGGAGCGAGCTCACGTGTGATGGCTAGGCAGTCTTCCTTACGATTCATTTTAGGGCTTTCGGCGTGAATCCAAAATGCCCTTAAACATTTGCGAGCCGATGTCTGTGATTTATGCGCTAAGAGTTTCACTGTGACTTCGAAATTTTCTCCGCGTGTTTTAGCGCCCTGTGAGTGCCTAGTGGGGCGGAGTTTCGTGATCTATCTTTGCCGTATAAGTGCTCTCTTATGCAGACACATAGCAACCGCGCTGTCTTGCCTATTACTCGTCGCCGCAGCTCGCGCAGGTGATAAGATAGAGGACCCCCCTCGCCATGCAATCCCCGTTCCTGCCCCAAGCCAGATGATACAATTGGGCGTATTACAGCCGCGATCATAGATACGATTGCGCACCAAAATGCTCTCAAGATCATTTGAGAGTATTTCCACAATCGTAACTGTATTTTCTAGCCCGTACTTCCTCAGACTCTGTCGAAATGCAGTGCTTACTTCATCGGAAATATAGGGAATGCAGAAGGGGATTTTTTCCTCGCACGTTCTGTCCACCTGGTTGTGGCGATTTCCACCCCTCCTCGCTGTTCTAGCACGATTTTCATATCGAGGGGTGCCTCTAATGAAATATTTTCATATTTCATTAGAGGCAGCGCAAGCGCAAGTGATTCCGCTTTTTCTTGTTGTCCACTATAAACGCGAAGGGTTTTACGGAACATGTTTTGAATGATTGCCTTCTTTGTTTGACGCGGATGAGCCTAAAGCGATACCATTTTGTGACGTGCGCGCCTGAGGATATACTGATCTGCACATTGAAAAATGGCAACCATTCATCGCTGGGTCTTTCGCTGGTAAGCTTAATGTATGCAGATGATTTGTTGAGTATTCTAAAGCAATTGTCAACTTCTGCTTGAGTTAAGCAGATTATGAAACAATCGTCGATGTATTAGGCTGTAAAGAAAGGTCTGCCAGTTCTTCCCATAACTAACAAAAATGAATGCGAACGCAAGGGAATGGTTTGAGATGTGTTGTAAGTGTGCGATGGTCTCAGCTACCCAATACGCTGTTCAGCTCAAAAAAAATGACCATCAACTAGGAAGAAATGCCCAAAAAAACGAAAAATCCGTTCGCTTCAATCCGCGAAAGGCACATTTTTCAGATTATGGACGCGCAAAACTTTTGAAAGCTTGATTTGAAAATCCGTTTTGAACCCTGTATAGTCTGGATGAAGCGATATCGGACCATTATTGCCGCAGTCTTGGGCCTTTTTGCAAGCAAGAAATAACTCATTGAATTCAAGGGTAAAAAATTCTATCTCTCCACCTGTTTCGAAACGCAACCGGTGCGCTTCTCAAAAAAGAGCATTCATGACATGCCTAATCAGTAGTCTAAGGTTGCCGCTACACATGACCAAAATATCGCTCATTGACAGCCACTGATGATGAAGATATAAACAAAACAATCTAGCTCAAAGTCTTTTGACAGAACTTTCTTTACGACCTAATATCTGCAATACAGTAATGGGCGGCATTCTATAACATTATTCTGTCTAGAAAAAAGTTTCACAATCCTGTACACTTTTTTCTGTTTAGAAAAAAGTTTAACAATTTTGTACAAAGTTAAGTATCAAACTCTGCGCCGATGAAACCCCTCGAAACCTTTCAGTTTTTTTTTTCGTGAAATTTCGCAAGCCGACAGCTTTTGCACAGACGCCTTATGCAGGTGGTTCTCTTCGTAATACTATAGTAATGGGGAGCGAGATAAGCCGCTCCCTGCTGCAAATCTAAGTTTAAGCTGGCTCTACAGAATGATACATAAAAAGGGCAAAAGAGTTCTTAGCAAAATTTTGAACAACATTGTATAATATTAGGTTAGAAAAAGAAGAGTGTTCTTTTTTATAAAGTTCCTGGTTCAAAATTGATATTTCCTAGGAAATGGAGCATTTGAAAGCCAAGTTGTGAGGGTACACAATTGCATTGATGGTACACAGTTGCATACATGGGAGGAGCCCAGTACTGCTGGACGTGGAATTCTTCCGCTTTTCGTTTTCCTTTCATGAGTATAGCGAGTGAGATAAGGGCGTACGTCTACTACATGCAATAGCAAGTAGAAGCTTATAGAGTAAGGAGCAAAGATCCGATCTGCAACGCTATGAATCTCTCAAAGGATTGAATCCAAACCTTGTTAGATCACGTCGCACAAAAATGCTCAACAGCTGTCTTTCAAAGCTTGTTTTGCCCTATCAAATAGCGCCCCACAAACATTTCAGTGTTCGTTCTGTTGCTCTGGCATGAAAAACGACATCCTTTTCTTTCTACCCTTATCTGTCGACGTCCAAGAGCAGTGCCTCACCAAGTTCAGGTACTGAATTAAGAGAAATCTGCCATGTCCAGTTCGTTTGGGTCTTCAAACAAATAAAGCGTCACTTACAAAGGAAAAGTACAACAAAATCTAATGAATTGAAAAGAATTTATCATTAGGCGCGTCTTCAAATGCTGACTCCAAATCTGCATTTTTTCTGCGAACAACATTCTGAAAAGTTAAGATCATTTCACTCAAATTTCTCAAATTCCAAGTGCCGTAAAAACAGTGTGTATAAAAACATCTATGCGAATTTTTACTGACTGTGATCCTTCCTTGTAGTCAGTATAAGTGATACAAAATTGATTACCCACATAAAGGCGTTTTTGGACAGGTTCTCGCTACTTTTATGCCAATAAGACTTGACAATTTTGGACTTCCAAAAGCTTATTCTTTCTTTTGAGGAGCTGCTCCGTTAAAAAGAAAAGCAGATTTGGAATCGGCGTTTGAAGGCGCGCCTGGTGGCATGCATCTCCCTTCGGGCCAGATCAGTTGCCATTTCTTAATTAGAGTGCATTCAAAGGGTGTTTAGGCTCGTTCAATTTTGGAGTTCCGATACTTTTTTCGCCTCCTTGCCGGCGTGAACGAACCGCAGCAGAGCAGATAACTCGTCATGAGGATTCAAAAGGACGGTCTCAAAGGCAGTTTCCTAGCAGATTCGCATTTTGGGAGATATAGCTATGGTGAGGTTTGTTATTCCCCACTAATCTCTACTCCTAGTCCAGCTGATTGATGTTCCCTGCGCCGGACCAGCGCGCGCGCGAACGGCTTCGCCAACCTGTTCGACGGGGGACGTATGACCTCTCCCGTATTGTGCATGCTATCCAAAGCAAAAACTAAAGGCGACAGGGTCTTCGTGCCAGAGTCTCCGAACTTTCGTTGAAACTCTCGTGTGACCTGACTTTTGGAAAGTGTGTAAACGCTCCAAGACCGTCTTTCACCCGGTATGAAGTTCAAATTCAGATTCTACGAGTCAAAAAGCCCTGAAACATGCAGAAATGTGGAAGTGCAAAATTTGTCGGAGCACGGCCTTCAAGAAATATGGTGCGAGCAAATATACGTTTATAGAGGGTTTTCATTTCTTTGAAATTGCAAAAATTTCAAGACTTGAAGACGTGGCTTGCAAGCTTGTTTGTTCAAGTGGGCTTACGATTTAATACAACAGACTCACCTTGGTAACATTCGAGCGCTTGCGTGTGGGCAATGATAGCCACAAGGAGAACAACGGACACAAACGAAAACATCTGATGAATATAAAACTAGATTCTAATCTGAGGGGGTTTTATAGTGGGTGATGATTCATTGTACTCTTGTCATGGCAGTATGCTTATAAGTCTCAGACTTTTTAATCTCGTTTAAGGCAAGGAACCGCTGTCACAATATATCATGACAGTTTTTTTTCGACGACTCTATCGAAAGTTTTGAAATCAATGAAGCATCAAATCTGGTACAGGAAGCTTTACGGCTTGCTAAGCTTGGTCTTCAGTAAGATTACAGAATTCTCCAGCAATCATCAAGACACTATCACCTGCTTAGTCATGGCATAGTATGGCGCAAAATAGAGCAAACTTTGAGATAGCAACAATGTTCTGGTCAGGTATGGCCCGTGAGAACTGAAGAACAGCGGTGTTTTATGAAAAGAGTACTAAACCATCGTTTATTTCACATTTATTTTTTGGAAGGCGTAAGCTTTGAGGAGCACTACAGTGAGTGCTAAGCACTATTGTAATCCGCTCTCAATATCGCCATGATTTGCCTTTTTGAGAAATCTATTTGAAGTTTTTATTCGTTTTATACATGTAAGCATACCATTAGCTCCCCCAACAGCCTCCAATCTCTTTGATTTGAAACGGTAAAAAAGAGAAATTTTCAAAAAGCCCTCAGGCTGGACTGGACACTAGTATAAACCCACTTGCTTTTTTTAGCCGCCACTGCATTTCTTGCATTCCTCGACTTCAAAAGATTACTTGAGGGATAAACATGACTTAGATTTATTCCTTTAGTGTCCAGCCTGATCAGGGCTTTTTGAAAATTTCTCTCTTTCATTGTTTCGAATCAACGAGATTGGAAGCGGTTTTGATGAATGATGGTCGGCTTGCAAGTATACAACGCAGCAAAACTTCAAATAGATTCCACCGACAAAAAGGCAAATCATGGCGATATTAGGAGTGGATTATAATAGTGTTTAGCACTGTATTACTCTTCGAAGCTTACGCCTTCTAGAAAGTAAATGTGAGGTGAACGATGGTTCAGTAGACTTGCTATCAAAAACCGCTGTTCTGCAGTTCTCAGTGGCCATACCTGACTAAATACAAAACTCTGATGCTATCTCAAAGTGTGGTCTATTTTGCGCCATACTGTGACTAAGCAGGTCAAAGTGTCTTTGATAAGTGCTAGAGAATTTTTTCTGTAATCTTACTGCAAACCAAGCTTAGCAAGACGTAAAGCTTCTTGTACCAGATTTAACGCTACATTGATTTCAAAATCTTATATATAAAGCTGAATGTCTGTTTGTCTGTATGTATGGTTAGAAAAGTGGATTGGATTTATATGTGGCGTGAAATGCTGCACCGAATGCTTCCAAGATCTCCTAGAACCTTTCTTCCATCAAATGTGGCGCCCGTTTGAAAAAAAGCGAAATTACTTTAGGAATGATTTAATATATTGCTGAATCTCTGAGGAATCGAGAACTCAGCAAGCGGTCTTCCGAAAAGTCCTGATTGCTTTCCAAAAAATCCGCGAGCGGGGTGCGAGAGATCAGCAATCTATTTTTCCGGTACCCGCCTGCCGCCGGCGATTGCCTGAGTATACATGCCACGCAAAAGTCTTGAAAACTTCTGAGCATTCTTGACAAAAGAAGTGAAGAAGGCTCTTACAAACTTTGAATTGCTGATATGACGGACGAGCTCCAAAATCACCAAAGCCTAACCATATTCCTACAGAACTCGATGTTTGATATTCACGAAGTGCTGTGCTTGATTTATTATATTGCTTAAATGATGATGCGATTCTGCGACAACCCTCAAATTGTTGTGATAGAATCACGCCTTTAGGTTTGGACTACTTTTCGTGAAAATTTTCCGGAGCAGACATTGAACATAACTTTCAATCTTACTATTTCTCCCCCTCTGATTTGAGTCAGATTTTGCGAGTTAGTCAAGAGTAACTAAGATTTTGAAGTTCTATGCCCAGTGCAGCTAATTTTTCAACTATGCACACGACTTCATTGTTGTACAAGTTTTCAAAAACGCCTTGGAATATAAAAGCGTGACAGCCCTCGGTGATTAAGCTTGTCCTTCAACATCAACGATTAGCGTCCTTCACCTTATTATCAAGAAAAAAGAAGAATAGTGAGAATTAGGTTTATATCTATTTCACTGCTCAGGGGAATTTTCATGAAAAGTACCCGGAATTTGAAGAGGCGATTGCATCACAACAATCTGAGATTTTTCGCAAAATCGCATCATCATATAGGCAAGGTAACAAATCAAGCCCAGCACATCCTAAACAACATCGAGTTCTGTGGAAAAGGCCTATAATTTATGGTGATTTTGCAGCTTTCCGTCACTATCAGCGATTACGCGAGATTTCTAGGAGCGTTCTTCACCTCATATGAAAGCTCACGAGATTCTGTACTTCTGCGTGGCATGTGAAAAAGCTAGTAGACTCTGCAAACCAGCTTTTCGTTGAAGCCGATTAACTCTCAATGCTGTCAAAAGCAAAAACTTCACGTGATTGTTTATCTTCGATTACGACAAGAGGTCGGAGGTGTTCCAAATATTTCATACTTCGACCTTACATAGTACGGAAATGGCGTGAACCAGCCTTTCTCAAGGCCCTTCATGCCCAGAGTTTACAAACTAAAGAGGATCTCGATCGGGTCAAGATTCGAAAGCGAGGGATGGGAGGAAGCGGCTCGAGAAATTTGCGGGAGCAAGGAAAGGAGACATCATATGCAACGATTATCTTCTGGTTTCACAAAATTAATTTGCTATTATCTGTTTATCAAGATTTCAAATGTTAGGTTTCCCAAAAGTTCTTGCGCCGCATGTTTAAAAAAACATAATTATTTCGTATCTCAATGGATTCCTTTGAACAGAATCCCTTATGAAAGCACGAATCAAGCTTTTCGAAAATGCGGAGCAAGAACTTTTGGGACAACCTAATATTTGCAAGAAACAATTTTCGCGTACTTTTGTGACTTAAGTAAACCATTACCTGAATTTTCGCCTGCAGCATTGGAATATATTAGGATTCATGATTGATTCATAATTAATGCACGTTTTTCTTACCTCTTCTTCCAAGAGCTGGTATTTGACGTGTAATCAATTCCCTCAAAAACTTTTTACGCATTCTAAAAGAGCGTTTTTGCTAGTTTCTTATGTGGGCCTTCGTTTTCGTACATCTCCGTTCATTCCAATGTTCTGAGCCTTCAAATAAAAGAGACTAAATCCCAAAATTTTTGCTTTTCACTCTTTTTGCTCTAAATCCATGAGGAATAGCCGAATTGATTATAGAAAATATGCATAAGGATTAGGAAACTTTGCGCTACAAGGTGCTTTTTGAACAAAATTTTCCATGAATTCTGAGCCGAGAAATTCATTTGCGAACTTTAATAATGATCGCGGCCCTTTCGTGCCATATAGAACTTTCAAGCAAAAGGCGATTGCAGGTCTTTTGCACTATTTAGCAAGGGTAGACCTAGTTCATTTGTTGGTAGAAAAGCGCTAGGGTTTTCCCACTTTTTAGCGGAGATAAATGAAATAACTTCAAAAATGATCGATTTTTGAACCCGCCGAGATGGGAAAAAAATGAGTACCTTCGACTTTTTCGCGATGTTTTCTTCTACATTTTTTCCGCAAAATTTAAGCTGGCATTACTGCTCAAGAGACCCTTGGCTACACGATGAGCGAAGTCTGCTTTATCCAACTTCATTTAAACATAAATTATGCTCTCTCAAAGTAAAGGCTTCTGGAAAAAGTTGTTGGCACTCTTCGGGCCAGAAAGTCTTTTTTGTGTTAGATACAGTCACGCAAAAGTATCTGTTTTATAGCCACTAATTTGGTGGTTACAGCAGTTTTTATTGCGCCCAGATATGTCTCTTGAAAAAAGAATTATCTTGGTCGAAAGTTGAAGTATAGAAAACGTGCATTAATTATGAATCAACCTAATATTTAAACCTTAGATTTTGACTTTATACTTCCGGAAGTCAATTTTTCTGCAAATGATCATAGGATAACTTGTAAAGTCCACCAATCTAATATAAATGTAATAGCTTGGCTTCTAATCAAGAATTTGAGTCTACTGGATATCGTCGTTAGATGGAAAAAATCTTATATCGTAACAGTTGGTCTGTACATTAGAAGACCTTTATGCATGCTGCAACTGAAGTCTATCTCATCTGGACCGGTAGTAATCTGGCCGAAACTCCGAGTTTAGAGCTGCGCGTTAACTCAGAGTTAACTCCGAGTTTGTCTCTCAAACTCGGAGTTTCGTCCTGCCACTTGTAGTAGCCATTATAGTTGTTGAGGAGCCGCCACACGCTTCATCGCAAAACACTGCGACTAGTTCGGGAATCGAGCTTCCGTTGCTTGGCGTGAAGCGCCTACCACTAGACCACAAAGCTACGCAGCCACTGTTATGTTGCTGCTGCTATGGCTTAATAGATCTTCGTCATCAAGATCTCACATGTCAAGACAAGCGGAGAGGCGTTAGGTTGCCTGTGAGATGCCTGGCCATAGAGTATCCTAAAGATTCTTAAAAATGGGCATAGGCCGTAATGCAATGACCCGTTCCCCTCCTCTCTCACCCTATTTTGATATGCTTTATATTTGATAAAATTCAAAAGTTCTGTTAGTACCCAAGTTTTTTCAAATGATCTATATCTATAATTTGTAATCTCAATATTGATCATGATTTTTGGAGAATAGACTTTAAGTAATAAACAAAGTCTAGAGGTCATTTGAAAATCGAAGTTAGAATTTCAAAGGTGAATAATATAACAACCATAAAAAAATTTTAGAAGTAAAAATTGAAAAATACTACCCAATATCATCGGATCTCTGCTAAAAAAAGTCTAACTAAATCTGAGATTTTCTCCATTATTCCGTATATGCCCACCGTAGTAATCTCCTTGAAAACGGCCAGCATTCATGATGGCACTGCCAAATGAGTCGCGAAATTCTAGGCGATTCAGCCAGTTCAGCTCACACTTACTTAACAACGTCGTATAGTCCTGCAGTGGAAAAGAGATAGTACGTATCTAACGGTGGCGATCCCAGGATTTCCGTCCGAGGGGGGGGGGGGGACGAAGCGGAAAAAATTTCTGGGGGCGCTTCTTGAAATTTTTCGGGCCCAAGACCCCTAAAATCTAGAAAAAGGGGGCATGGTCTCAGCCACGCCCCCGAAGAAATTTTTTACAAGGCTAATTTGAATTTTTAAAAAATTTAAAAAATTATTCATTATTTACGAAAATAAACAAGTTATTTGCACATTTTTATAACCCATGTAGGTAAGTTCCAAAAATTTCGCGACCCATTCTCGGGGGGGGAGGGGGGGGAGAGTACAAAAGCAACAGGATCAGAGTCTCAATTGTCTCCATTCTCAGTGAAAGTTGTGCTAAGCGAATACTGACTGTATACAGAGTCAAAATTAACTACACACTTTTTGATCGTTATTAACTTTTTTCCCACTAAGTGTTTTCCTTAGCTTTAAGTACCGTACAGTAGAGGTAGTAGGTAGACCTACTCCCAGTACGACAACTACCACAGAAGCGCCAAGAGTAGATTCTTCATCTTAGGCTTACACTACGGAGAAAATCTTACATCCCTTTATTACTGTAGGACTACGGTAGAAATTTCTAGCATACAAGGTCATCGTGAATAGGCCGTTTGAAAAAAAAATTCAAAAAAATTCTGGAAGGTTGTGTCGTAGTGATTTTCGTACATGCTGAGTTCATCAGAAACTATTCATGAGTTTTCGACGAGTCTCAAATGTCTAATCGCATTTTTCAAAAAAAAGCTTGATGGTAGAGGTTGAATCTTTGTTCTGGGGGCGATATGTAGCACTAATGGATCAAAACCCTCTTCAAAGTTCTTACCAATCCCAGAGTAACGAAGAGTTGGGTGATCCGCTAGAATCAAAGAAGTTAAAGGCAGCAGCTCGGCAAATTCTCCGGAAGTTTCTTTCCCTTGCCTGGGGTAATTCGAGGCGCTGATTCCAAATATCATCCTTGAAGAGCGCGTAAGTGGCAAGAACCACCATTTCCCAAGGCCTCCCATCCCACTTTGAATTTGGACGAGTGGAGCACGATTATGGTTAGAAAGGCAAAATCGTTGCGGGACCCTTGCAGTTATAACATTGCTGCCTTCTCTAACGGGTCAGGTAGAATTGCAAGCTCGTCCGCGCGTGTTAGAATGACTTGCGCGTAACTGATTTAGGGGCAGTCTTCTAGACAAGGGCAGCGTGCTGTGCGCTCGGACCTGCTCCTTTCTCATGTTTGGGGTGCAAGTACACTCCCATGTCAAAATTTCGGGATGTTCGGTTTTGGCTAGCTGCTGCCTTTAAAGCCTCCTCTATTGGATGTGTCGAGATGCAGCTAGCTACAACAGCTGCTCGAGAAGGAGGTTGGCTGATGCCTGACGGCCGGAGGTCACAGCCAAACTCTGGCAGTGACCTCCGGCCGCCGGCACTAGCCGGTTGCCTTCCTTCTACCCTTTCTCCCTTTGTATATAAGTATTTATGACAAATATAATAATCAAGACTATGTAAACCCGCTACACATCAGGTAAGGGAATAGCTTATACCTGACAGATGGTACCCTATTTTCAGGTGTATAAGCCGGACCCTCTTTGCTGTAACGCGAGCAGACCCAGGCGTGCCGCTACGCAGGTGCCTCGCGAAGCGGTCGTTTTTTCGCACATTGCTCTCTCTTAACGCTCCCCATCGTAACAGGCAGTCTTTTTGGCGAGTGCGCTCTTATAGTGAACAGGGTGCGGCTTATACATCTGAATATAGGGTACTTAAAGCTAAGGAAAAGACTCAATGGGAAGAGATTTATCAACGTACAAAAAGTGCGTACTTACCTTTGAACACCCTGTATCTCATAAATGGAGCAGCAGTATTTAGAAATTGTTTATAACCGCAAGAGTTTGTGCATCGTTTAACGAGGACATCAGTAAAACACATCATTGTAAGAGGTTATGATTTGTAATAGCAAAAAGATGTAGTGATTGTGATTTTGTTGCACAAATGTGTGATATCGTATAGTTCTTAGAAGGCTTACACTTGTCTGCTGTCTCTGCAGTTGCTCACATTGACTCCATTACTGAAAGATGAACTCTGGGTTCAACTTTCTTTTAGGATAGCTCACATTCCTGTTTTGCGCAGGGTTAAGTCTTGATACATTTTGGCACACCAGGTAAATGCGAGTGCTATTTGTCATTTCTAAGTATACACTTGTGAAATGATTCTAAAATATTTGCGATTACCCAGACTTGAATAGATTGATTAGTCTGTTTTTGAAAAATACATTGCAAACAAATTTATTCTGCCCAAAATAAAAGCCCAAAATTGGGAGATTACTGGTACAACTTATTGTAGATATCTCTTTTGTTTAGCTTCTGTTGCAAAGATCAGAAGCACAGCAGCATACCGTGCGATAATCGAGTGTTCTGCAGCCTTTTCCCTAAAACAATTTTAAGAGCTGGGTCTCTCTTTTCTATTGAGCAACTCTACTAATAGCGAATGATTCTTGGACGTCAAGGAAGGAAGTGACTGAAATCACAGTTCAAACAATGTAATGCTTACTTTGCATAAAGCGGAGTTACCACAGCCGTATATGGTTGGGACATTGTTTTGCCGTAGTCTAAATATGCAACGTCAATCACGGGTGCTTTTTGTGAAAGTTTGGTGAATCATACGAATAACAATATTTCGCATCGGGTGGGCACAGCTGTTTTATCAGTGGGGAATAACCGGTTGCAACTCCTGTAATTTGCAAAATTGGAGGAAGAAAGAGAGACATAATACAGGGATTTCCAAATGTATGTTCCACCGTTTGATCGCTCATAACTCTTTTCCACAGAAGCCTTTTGCCTACCTACGGATACCACCTTGTGAAGCTGGCTTTAGCTTGGATTTGCATGTGAATGGGTTTATAAATCGCATTTCATCGCTGTAGGATTACGGAGAGAACTTTGAAGAGGGTTTGGGCCATAGAGGGCCATATCTTGCCTCTGGAGGAGAAGAAAACCACCTGAAAACTCTTGCACTAGTCTATGCTGATTCCGTTGAAAAGTTGTGCCAGGTAAGCAGTCATAGCCGTTTTATCAATGTGTTTGAACTGTCTAGAAAAAGTTTCACAATCCTGTACAAAGTTGAGTATTAAACTCAGCGTCATGAAGTGAAACCCCTACCTTTCAGTTTTCCACTGAAATTTTGCAAGCTGGCAGCGTTTGCACAGTGACGCCTTATGCCAATATTTCTCTCCTTAAAGGCAGTGGTTCGGCAAATCCTCGAGTTGAAGTTTGTTCGCTTACCTGGGGTAATTCGACGCGCTGATGCCGAAAATCCACTTTGAAGAGAGCGAAAATGGCGAAAACTAGCAATTACTAAGGCCACTTATTTTGCATCTGGACGAGTGGAACACTCCCCGCCATGGTAAGAGACGTAAAATCGTTGCTGGACCCTCATATTTATAGCATTGCGGCATGCCGCCTCTGACGGTGGGAGGCAGTCGCAAGCTCGTCCGAGTGCGTGTAAGAATGGCTTCCGCGCACGCGTTTAGGGGCAGTTTTTTAGGCAGGGGCAACATGCTGTGCGCTCGGACCTGCCCTGTTCTCATGTTTGGGGTGCAAGCAACCTTATATATATATATATCAAAAATGCGATATGTTTGGTTTTGCCGATCCACTACCTTTAATCCTACAGTAATGAAAAGCGATCGATGAACCGCTCCATGCTGCAACTCTAAGTTTGAGCCGGTTTTACAGAATGATACCTGAAGAAAGGCAAAAGAGTTATTAGCAAAATTTCGAATAACCTCAATAATAGCCTCACCAAAATTCAGGTACTGGATTACGGGAAATCTGCCATGTGCGATTTGTTTGGGTCTTCAAGCAGAGGAAAGCTTCACTTACAAAGGAAAAGTACAACAAGATCTTATAGATTGAAGAACTGTATATCATTAGGCGCGTCTTCAAATGCTGACTCGAAATCTGCCTTCTTATTCTGCGAACAACTTTTTGAAAAGTTAAGATCATTTCACGCAAATTTCTCAAACCTCAAGTGCCGTAAAATCAGTGTGTACGATAACAACTATGCGGATTTTTACTGACTGTGATCCTTCCTTGCAGTCAGTATACGTGATACAAAATTGATTACACTTGCAGGCGTTTTTGAACAGGTTTTCGCTACTTTCATGCCACTTAAGACTTAGCAAACTTAACAAACAACTTCAGACTTCCGAAAGCTTATGTTTTCTTTCGGAGAGTTGCTCCGTTGAAAAGAAAAGCAGATTTGGGTTCAGCGTTTGAAGGTGCGTCTGGTGACATGCATCTTCCTTCGGGGCAGACCAGTTGTCATTTTCTAGTCAGACTGCATTCAAAGAGGTTTAGACTCGGGATTTCAATTTTTAATTTTCTTTACGTTTTTTCAGAGAAACGCCCCCTTGCCGACATGATTGTACCTGCGACGGACAGATACCTCGTTGTACACTTGCAAAAGATTCAAAAAGGCAGTCTCGAAGGCAGCGTCCTAGCAGATTCGCACCTTGGGATATATAGCTATGGTGGGGTTTGTTTTTTTAACTCACTAGTTTGTACTCCTAGTCCGGCTGATTGATGTTCCCCTGCGCCGGACCGGTGCACGCTCGAACGGCTTCGCTTACCTGTTCGACGCGGGACCCTATGACCTCTCCCGTATTGTGCATGCTATCTAAAGCAAAAACTACAGGCGACAGGGTCTTCGTGCCAGAGTCTCCGAACTTTCGTTGAAACTCTCGTGTGACCTGACTTTTGGAAAGTGTGTAAACGCTCCAAAACCGTCTTTTCACCCGGCTTAAAGCTCGAATTCAGATTCTACGCGTCAAAAAGCCCTGAAACATGCAGAAATGTGGAAGTGCAAAATTTGTCGGGGCACTGTCTTCAAGGAATATGGTGCAAGCTTGTACCAAGATATGGTTATACGGGCTCTTCATTTCTTTCAAATCGCAACAATCTTGAGACTTAAAGGCAGCGTCCCACCAAAATGGGGGTACCTGGCTCTCGTAATGATGTTATAGTAGACCCCCTACCTGAGCGATGACTGAAGTTCGGAGCGAAAAAGGGGGTCTACCAAGCCTGAAATTTGCTCCGAAAGTGGGCCGAATCTTACGGTAGGGGCGAGTGCGAGGTGCATAAAAGGCAGAGACGCAGAGTAGTTGCAGGTCCCTGCGCTCATGATGTGTGCGCTATACGCACTCTGGCCCTGCAAATCAATATTGCCGTGTGGGCGGCGTTCGGCCCTACCGTAAGATTCGGCCCACTTTCGGAGCGAATTTCAGGCTTGGTGGACCCCCTTTTTCGCTCCGAACTTCAGTCATTGCTTAGGTAGGGGGTCTACTATCACATCATTGCGAGAGCCAGATTCCCCCAGTCTGGTGGGACACTGCCTTTAAGGACACGGCCTGCAAGCTTGTTTGTTCAAGTGGAATTGCGATATGATACAACAAACTCACCGTTGTAACATTCGAGCGCTTGCGTGCGGGCAATGATAGCCACAAGGAGAACAACGGGCACAAACGAAAACATCTGATGAATATAAAGCTAGGTTCTGATTTGAGAGGGTTTTATAGTGGTTGGTGATTCATTGTACTCTTGTCATGGCAGTATGCTTATAAGTCTCAGATGTTTTAATCTCGTTTAAGGCAGAGGAACCGCTGTCACAATATATCATGACAGTTTTTTTTTCGACGACTCTATCGAAAGTTTTGAAATCAATGAAGCATCAAATCTGGTACAGGAAGCTTTACGGCCTGCTAAGCTTGGTCTTCAATAAGATTACAGAAAAAAATTCTCCAGCAATCATCAAGACACTATGACCTGCTTAGTCACAGTATGGCGCAAAATAGAACAAACTTTGAGATAGCAACAGTATTCTGTAGTTAGTCAGGTATGGCCCCTGAGAACTGAAGAACAGCGGTGTTTTATGAAAAGAGTACTAAACATCGTTCACCTCACATTTACTTTTTAAAAGGCGTAAGCTTTGAGGAGCAATACAGTGAGTACACTCTTGTAATCCACTCAATATCGCCATGATTTGCCTTTTTGAGGAATCTATTTGTTTTGCTGCGTTTTATACATGCAAACATACCATTAACTCCCCCAACAGCCTCCAATCTCTTTGATTTGAAACGGTAAAAAAGCGAAATTTTCAAAAAAGCCCTTAGGCTGGACTGGACACTAGCATAAACCCACTTGCTTTTTTCAGCCGCCAATGCCTTTCTTGCATTCCTCGACTTGAAAGATTATTCGAGGGATAAACATGACTTGGATTTACTCCCTCTCAAAAGCATTTAATCAATCTGCTTCGACAACAGCTGGTTTGAGTTTGCGAGTTTCTATACATGCCACGTAAAAGTCTCGAAAACTTCTGAGCTTTCTTGATAAGTGAGTGAAGGACGCTCTTACAAACTTTGAATTGCTGATATCGACTGAAGAGCTCCAAAATCACCAAAGGCTAACCATAATCCCACAAAACTCGATGTTTGATGTTTAGGAAGTGCTGAGATTGATTCACTGTATTGCTTAAACGATAATGCGGTTTTGCGAAAACTCTCAAACTGCTGTGATGCAATCATGCTTTTAGATTTGGACTAGTTTTCGTGAAAATTTCCCGTGAGCAGGGATTGGACATAATTTTCAACTTCACTAATTCTCTCCCTGTTTTGAATCAGATTTTGCGAGTTAGTTGAGGTAACCAAGATCTTGAAGTTCTAAGGGTTCTCCAATTTACCTGGTGGTCTGACCAGGGAAGACACTTTGATCGAAGGGTCATATGGCAAGTGATGCGGGATAGACAGCTCTTCGAATGCTACTCTCAAAACTCTTTCGCTCCTTGGGAAAGGCTAGTTCACGCCATTTCCGTACTTTGTAAGGTCGATTTTCGAGATTAGCGTCGATTTACCCCGAGTAAGCGAAATTTGTGGAAGATTGTCGAGCCACTGCCTCAAACTGAACACTATTATGGATCCACTTGATCGAATCGAGCACCATTGCTTCTTTGACTTTCAAATTTTTTGTACAGCTACATCTTGAAGTATGAAGTATTTGTAGCAGCTCCGACCTCTTGTCGTAATCGAAGATAAACAATCACGTGAAGTTTTTGCTTTTGACAGCATGGGGAGTTAATCTGCTTTAACGAAAAGCTGGTTTGCAGAGTCTACTAGCTTTTTCACATGCCATGCCAGAAGTACAGAATCTCGTGAGCTTTCATATGAGGTGAAGAACGCTCCTAGAAATCTCGCGTAATCGCTGATAGTGACGGAAAGCTGCAAAATCACCATAAATTATAGGCCTTTTCCACAAAACTCGATGTTGTTTAGGATGTGCTGGGCTTGATTTGTTACCTTGCCTATATGATGATGCGATTTTGCGAAAAATCTCAGATTGTTGTGATGCAATCGCGTCTTCAAATTCCAGGTATTTTTAAAGAAAATTCCCCTGAGCAGTAAAATGGATATAAACCTAAATTTCACTATTTCTTCTTCTTCTTCCTTGATATTCAAAAGCAGTGCTCCGGCAAAATTTCGCTTACTGGTTTTTACCTCTTCGAAACCTTCTCGCCGTGCTCAAGCCATATCTGAGCTTTTCAGCGATTGAAAATGGCAAAAATGGCTTTTTTCGAAGCTCTCCGTGTCCGCGTTCGCTTCAAATTACGTGCAAGAAGTGGGTGGGGCCTAAAAATAACCGGGATCCGGAAGACTTCCGGAGCGGATTTTGTACTTTCCAAAACCTATTTTGCTTTAAACTTCACTTATAGACCACTAGCTGGCTTACCCGGCCCCGCCGTATGTTCCGAATAGAAAATTCCATTTCTTAACCGATCCGGACCAAACTTGGCACACATTGATTAACAAAAGTCAAAAGTAATTTGGTAACCAGGAATTTGTGGTACGCTTTTATCCCATTGAATTGGGCAGTTACGTTCCTTTAACAATGAACAGAAAGTGATCAGTGAATGTGGCTATCCATGAAATGGTTATCAAGAATTTTTCACAGCGCTAATTGCGTTTATCTTGTTCTTATGTTGTAAAATAGTCTAAAATCTGGTAGAAGAGTTCGCCCGCAGATTAATCCGCCTATAAATAAATGTACGAGTACTCCTTTTTTTATGATGAAACTAGTTGACTTACCCGGCTCCGCCCGGCCCTGTCATTATTATATTCGTAATCAGCATGGTCGATTACCCCCCCTGTGCCAACTCCCAGCCCTGTAGCTCAAATTTTGCAAAAAATCGATAAAATCGATATCGATCGATGACGAAAAGTAGCCTACGACATCCGCCGGGGCCCGAAATGTATGTGTGCCAAGTTTGGTCCGGATAGGTTCAGAAATGGAATTTTCTATTCGGAACATACGTACACACATACAGACAGACAGACAGACATACAGACAGACATACAGACAAACAGACATTCAGCTGGTGGACTTTTGAAGTGCCTTCTCAGGACGAACTGTGCTGTATACCAGGAGTCCACTAGCGCTAACATGAGGCTAGGCTCTGGCGCAACACATGCCAATGGGAAAGGGACACTGCAAATGAGATAAACTGTAGTGGTTGCAGGACTTTGGATATATAGTTGTTTACCTTTATGGTCAAATCTTATACATAAAGCGGAAGGTCTGTTTGTCTGTATGTCTGTCTGTCTGAGTGGAAGTATGTTCCGAATAGAAATTTTTATTTCTAAACCGATCCGGACCAAACTTGACACACACTTGGGGGCGTGGCGGGGCTCGTAGGCTACTTTTGGTCATCGATCGATGTCGATTTTATCGACTTTTATCGATTTTTGGTAAAGTTTAAAATGCGGGGCTGAGAGTTGGCATAGGGAGGTAATCAAGCATGCTGATTACGAGTACAGTATTGTTTTCTGAAATTATTCGTTGTTATTATCGATTTCATCGATTTTTGAATTTTGAGCTACGGGGCTGGGAGTTGGCGCAGGGGGGGGGGGGGTGGGAGTAAGTGAGCATGCTGATCGAACACAATAATAGTTTTCAAAATTATTTGTATCTTTTAGCATTATCGATTTTTCTGCAAAGTTGATCTCCAGGGCAGGGGGTCAAAGTAGGTGAGCGGAGAGGCATGCTGATTACGAGAACAAAACGACGATAGGGAATGACAATTAGAAGTGGGTTCAAGGAAAGATTTGTCAGGAGTAGGGATAGTTAACCTTTAATGTAATGTTTTGACAGGGCCGTGCGGAGCCGGGTAAGCCAGCTAGTTTATTATCTAATCTAATATATAAAGAATCGAAAGCGCAATTCAAAAATGTGCACATGGCGGGAAACCACGTGGCGGTCCCGTAGCGCGCGCATGCTACTAGCACCTTCAATTGCTGGTTCACTAGTATTGCCCAAATGATGATGCCATTCTGCGAAAACTCTTAGATTGTTCACGCCTTGAGATTTGAATTGCTTTTCGTAAAAATTCTTCGTGTGCCGTAGATTGGAAATAAAGCTGTCACTGTTCCTCTCTCCCTGATTTGGACAGGTTTTGCTGGTTAATCAACAGTAGCTAAAATATTGAAATTTTTAGGGTCCCTAATTTGGCCTGGTGGTCTGGGTTGTAATTGTGCAGGGTGCTCCGATCATTTCTCGAAGTGTGACAATTGTGGATTCAGAATGCCTAGCACAGCTTTTTTTCTAACTATGCGCGCGACTTTATTGTTGTACAAGTTTTCAAAAGCCAAGCATTGTGTTGTAAAAGCGTGACAGTCCTCAATAATGTTGAAGCGCGTCCGTCAATATCAATTACGCAAAGTTTATGAGAACGTCCTTCACCTCATTTGTTGAGAAAGAAGAAGTAGTGCGATATGAAGAGTACTTCAAACCTGAGGGCACGATTGCTCACAGCATCTGAGAGCTTTCGCAGAACCGCATCATTATGTAGGCAAGATAACAAACCAAGCCCAGGCAGGGCCCGCCACGAGTCCGTTTTAGGCTCTTTGGAAAGGAAAGGTCCCATTTGACTTTCAAAAATTTTACGAAGTCCACTTTGGCCTTGCTCTACTCCCCCCCCCCCATACTCCGACTGTTGGACCCGCTCGATTGAATGGTATCTCTTTCTAGGTGAAACCCGAAGTCGCTGCAGGGGCCTCCTAGCGCTCAAAGAACAGATTTTCAAGAAAAAAGACGCGTGAAGTGGCAAAAAACACACCTGAATGATCCGACATAGCCTTCACATAGATATCTGAGAATAAGCGATGATATAACTACTCAGAAGACAAAAACTCCCTAACTTATCTTTTTCTCCTCCATCAGAAAAGACTTACATAAAAGGCAAAGAGTAAGCAAAGGAAACGCCCACCCACTTATGAACTCAGGCAAAATAGAAGAAGTTGCAAACGGTCAGACATAAACGTTTGGTGAATTTCGCGATTTCAGGTCAAACTTTCAAAAAAATAACCACAAAATCAAAGAATTTTGCTTCATAGCGCTCATGTTCTCAAAACAGGTCAAGATGAAACACGAAGAAGAAGAATATTGAATGAAAGAAAGAAACGTCAAAATATCACAACAAAGCTGGAACTGAAAATGAAAACTCAAAGCGAGAAAACGCAGAAATGTTGACTCTGGGGCGTGGTATCTAACAAGGCAACTTTCGAAAAAAAAAACGGCGGGTA